AGGTAAAAACAAAATATAAAATATTTATTTAGCTGTTCTCTGCTTTAGTTTTTGATCTCTTGTTTTCTTGTGATATATATAGGTTTACTTTAGAAAAAAAGGTTCGCATAGATGAATCTGTATAAATATAATAGTACTGTCTGTTGTCCATGTAACTTCGCCCCCATGTTGATGGATCTTCACTGAAATTTGTTTATTTGTTTGTAATTAAGCACAAAGCTACACAATGGGCTATCTGTGCTCTGCCCACCACGAGTATCGAAATCCGGATTCAAGCGTTGTAAGTCCGCAGACATACCGCTGTGCCACTGCGGGCACTAAAATTGGTATGGAGGTTCATTGGGTCAATGGGGAGATACATACAAGTTTTCAGTTTTGCGGCTTTTATGGGCGTTTTTTACCACTACTTCACCCCCTGTTGGAACTGACAGTACTGTTATATTTATATAGACTAGCTGGAGTACCCGTCTCCTGAACGGAAGTTATATAAATTCATGAATAATGAAAGGTTATCTTAGAACATGAAAAGTTGCTTCTCTTATATGTAATTGCAAAAAACCAAAAACGCCCATAAAAACTGGAAAAAATATAACGTGAAACCTCAAATTTACATGTATCTTCGCATAGACCCAACAAACCTTCATGCTAAATTTGATGAAGATCCATAACAATATGAAAAAGAAAAAGGTCCAAGTATTGACTCCTAAGGTACTCCACTATAAACAAAGATCCAGTTTGGCTTGAATCTGTTAATTTAAAACTTTTTGCTCTTTCTCCAAATTCTACCAATGTGATTTTCTTAGCTAATCTTTTGTATGTCACCTTATTAAAAGTTTTTGAAAGCCTAAAGTCTACACTTTTTGTCATCATCCAGTTATTAAGTAACGTCCTCAAAAAAAGACAACAAGTTAGTAAAGCAAGATTGCCCTTTGGTTAAATCATGTTGGCTGTCATTTATGGTATCCAATTGATGGTATCCATGATTTTGTAAAGTTTATTCTTATGGTATCCAATTTATGGTATCCATGATTTAGTAAAGTTTCTTTTGTGAGATTCTCTACAATATTACCACTACATAGTTAATAATAACTCGTTATAAGTTCCAGGACTACTCTTATCCCACCCTTTAAAAGTAGGAGTAGCTGAATTATCTCTCCAGTCTTTAGACACTTGCCCACTCTATATTGACCAACAAAAATGAAAGTGAATGAGAGGTGGCATAACTGTTCTTGCCTCTTTTAAAACCTTCAGGGCAAACTTTTTCTAGCCCTAATGATTTATCTATTTTTAATCTTTCATGGGATTAACATCTACATGATTTGTGTCAATTCCAGTATTTTTCATAGAATGCTTATGGTAAGGAATATTAGTAATAACTTCTAGTGGGAAAAAAGAAACGAATTATAAAATTAAAAGCTAGGTTAACTCACATTCTTCAACAAAAACCTTCTCATCAGCATTCTTTAACAGCCCAATCCCATTTAAACATTTTATTTACTTTAACATACTAAAAAACCATCACTGTTAGTTTTAATATTTTCAGCCAGCTATTTCTCATGAAATTTCTGAATTTGCTAATTTCTTTTTAACCAAATCAAAAGCTTTTATATACTTCTGTACTTCCCTGTTATCCTTTTTTTATTATTTGAGTACATGCCTATCTTGAATTAAAAGCAACTTATTTTTCAATATCTCCTAAATTTCTCCCACATCACTTTTTAACTCATTGTCTCAATTCACTAATGATTAATTTTGTCTCATTGCTGCATAAATTGCTTTCTGAAAATTAGAAATAAACTTTTTTTTTATCTCAACACGTCGCAAAACTTTAGACCTAATTATGTGATGATAACTAGTTTCCAAATGTTCACTATTTCAAATCTTGCAACCAAATCATCATTACTGGCTAACAATAAATATATATAATGACATTTCCTGGTTGGCTCTCTGACCATCTGGTATACGAAATCATCTTAATACGCTGGAGAGAAGAATAGGCAATTATAGTATTGCTTTGTCATAGTTGTATCTAAAATCCCTAACAATTTCATCCATAACTGTTATGAAATATATCTTTAGTCGGATATATGCAGGTAGTTTTCTAAATGTTCATAGAACGTGTTATGATGTTGAAAGGTCGCAAACATGTTTAATTTTTTAATTATGTAAAAGTTACACATGGTAATTTTTAAAAGCTTGTAACACTTTCGCCATGTGTCTGTGTCCACTTCTAAAGCAAGAGTGGAGGGGATGAGTCCATCACAAAGGTGACGCAGATACTTGTACAACTCGGTATGAGTGGGGATTGTTCTCCCTTGTATGCTTTATTTGTAACAGTTGGTGTCAGAGCTGGTAATTAATTAACTGCCACCCTCAGCAGAAATTAAAGCTGCATACTCTACTCACACTGTAGCTTCTGAGAATTGAGCACCATGGGCAGCCATCTTTGTAGCCCATCCTTAAGATCGAGCCTGGCCAATGATGTATCCAGCTTAGGATTGTGATACACCATAGTCGGGCCCCTTATCTAATTTTGAAAGTGCTGTTTAATATAACTTTTGTTGTCATTGGTCTGTGTGAACATTTTAAAAGATTCCTCTCTTACCTAGCACCTAGTGAGAAATGATTATATGGAATACGAAATCTACCCAGTAAGTGAAGACTTACACAATAATTGTGAATAAAGTTTGTCATACAAAGAGAGAGATAAAACCCAAATGTACAAATCCAAAATCTTTATTTAGAAAAAACTAAACAAGTACAATACAAAATAATAGAGCAAGCATGTCTTATAGATATGTAGAACTTGTAAGAGATGTGCGAAAAACCTTTACTACTTTCTCTCACTAGTTCAATGTGCTCCCCTCCCACACCATGTGCTAAGATAAATCAAACTAAAATCTAAAGAAAAATTAACCCCAACAAGTTAAAAGTAAAACAGAGAATCCAAATACATAATATTATTAATTTAAGTAAACCTTAAATTACTTAAAAGTCAACTGGACTCCAAAGTTACTTTAAATCAGTTCACTAATGATAAATATTAAAGTAAAAACAAAAGTTAAATAATGCTTGAGGATATACTTAAACTCTCTAAGCTCTTTTAGAAGTAAAGTCTAAATCGAAACGAGAAATCTGCAAAAATCGAACTCTCCCGGGGCAAACCTGACTCTAAATATGAAAACATTAGCATCAAACAACGACAGGCTTGCACACAGTTCCACGTTCAATAAGCAGCTTATGTGTTCATAATGTAATGTATGCAAAGGTCTGGCAGCCCTAGCTATTATCCAATCTCTTACAAAAATAACTGTATCTCATACAACGTCACCAATTATCATTCTCATAAGAGAACAATGTTAACAACTTTATCGCCAATAGTGAATATACGTGATGCGTGCATTGGTCGAAGAAAAAGTCGAATAAATTACTTGAACGTTATAATTCCTCTAAACTAAAAACGATGAAAAAGATAATAAGTTTAGAAAAAAATTATATATTAACTAAGGGTGAGTTAATGCATTGTACAGTTTTGTACCACACTGCTCAAGGGGCAGAATCGGAAATACCCTCTCGGACATTGCTCTATCTTCGGCATGGAAATTGGGTTACCTTCAGTGATTCTAAACATTTGCAGAAATACAAAACTACTAAATGCAAAGAAAACTAAACAAAAATTCTTGAAAATGACTAACACAACTGAATTCCATTCCTTTAAGCCAGTTTAAGGGTATCTATGTACAGAACATTACTGAAAATGTTTTTAAACATTTTTCTTTCTACTTGCCCACAACGAGTTATAACTATCACTTGGACATTTTATAAAGAAAGAAACTAAAATCAGAGGAAATTGTCAAAAATATTTATTACTAGTTGGAGTACCCTTCCTCTGGACGGAATTTGTGTAAATTCATAATTAATGAAAGCTTATCTTGGGACACGAAAAGTTGCTTCCCTTATATGTAATTGTAAAAAAACGCAAAATGCCGATAAAAACTGTAAAACACAAAATGTGAAACCGCAACTTTCCACGTATCTCCGCATGGACCTTCATGCCAAATTTGGTAAAGGTCTATCAACAGGGGGCGAAGTAGTGGTAAAAAACACAAAACGCCCATAAAAACCGCAATACGCAAAATGCAAAACTGAAAACTTGTATGTACCCCTGCATGGGCCTAATGAACATTACATACCAAATTTGGTGAAGATCCATTCACACCCTGCGAAGTAGTTACATGGACATACAACAAACGCGTCAGCGAGTCACATGACTACAGTGACGCAACGTTTCTAGAATTATCATGTACTTTGGCGAATGCTCTAGTATTTACTAGTAGGGTAGGCTGGTATATATAAGAGGGGAAAACGTGACGCGGTGAGAAAGGTAATGTGTGTATAGACAGTGTGTAATTGATCTGCAGTCAGAAGTATTATTGACGTTCGTTGATATAGCGTTGTTTTAGCGCGATTGTTGAAGTTGAGTGTATCGGTAAAGTTATATTCGGAAAGAATAAACCAGTTTTATTGAGTAAAGACTAGTGTCGTTAAAATTTCGTCGGAACAAAGTTACGGAAAAATCAATTAACAAACGGAGACGTAACACAAGTATTTGGCTTCTGGCTTCTTACTACAGAATCAAGTATTTTCATATCTCCCACTATTTTTCTCTTGGGTAATTATGTTCTTTGTAGTTTGAAAGTATATATAGTATATTTTATATGTAATTAAAACTAATTAAAATTTATATTGACTCTAAGAATAATGAAAGTTATGTATCTAAAAAAAAATGTAGAATCCACTTGAAATCCACCATGTTGGATTCTAACATGATTTCAAAATTTCCAAATCGGTCATACAATCTAGTATATATCAATATTTTTTTCACGAAGACAAAGACAATAATACAAGCCTAAATTATAAACATAAGATAATGTTGTTTTACCACACAGCTACACTATGGGCTACCTGTGTTTTGTTCCCATGGGAATCAAACCTCGGATTTTAGTATTTTAAGGTTGTAAACTTATCACTGATTCACTGGAGGACAACGGAAAATCAAATAGCTAGGCCATTTTATTGCTATCTGGAAAACCCTAATTTATTTAAAGACTTTAAGAGCAATGTTTGATTTACGCAATGTTCCCTTAGATCTAAAACATGAAAGAGAAAAAAAAATGGCAATGTAAAATTCTCATGTCCGCTGTAGATTTAGTATTTTGACTGCTTTTCCCGAATTAAAATTGGCTTTACTGAAACATTACTAATATGCGTTTTAGCATTATTTAAATGGATGCCTTTATTTTTAAATGACCCACTTCTAATTTGATGATAAATATTTGAGGCGGCTAATTATTCTTTATTTTAAATTTAGTTAAAATAATATTAATAATTGATTGTGGTACAACTTACAAGTTACAACTAGGACTCTGGTATTACTACTACTAGTACTAGGAGGGTTAACGAGTTGAAGTTGTGCTTTTACTACAAGGTTTGATTTTAATATATTTAGGCCATTACCGTATTATTTATAAATGTTAATGTAACTTAATTTTTTATAAACACCACAGACGCTTGCAAATTGTAAGTAACTTTATGCTAGGTTAACTTAGACTTATTTTTCAAAACAAATTTTTAAAACTCAAAAGTAATAATACTAATAGAAGTAGAACTTAGAAGTACAGCGGGTGAATTCTGATTCTTCGACAGCGTATTGTCGCTGTGTCAAAGTCATTTAATTATTAGTGTAAATAAATCAGTTACTAATGTCGTTATTATTTTACAAATTTTTAGAATGTGACTGTTACAATGTGTGATAAAAAACAAGTGAAGTAAATATGTTATTACTTATAGTTTAATATTTCTAACTATATGCCAGTATTATGACATTAGCTTATGAAGAAATATAAGTTAATTCATAATGGCTTAATTTATGTTAACCTTACACTGTAGACTTCCTTATACTTATAGGTATTGTTACTGCACCTATAACTTGACCAGCACATGATTCTATTAATCTTGAGTGAATTATATTTGTTTACATTGTTTTGATACCAATTATAGCATTAAATTGAAAAAACAATAATTTATAAGCATAATCAAAACTATCTTGTGTAGAAAACATACTACATGTTTCAACAGAACATTGGCCTGTCTTCTTAATAAGAGGATAGACCAGCATTCTATTGAAATATGTTATTTACATAAAACAATTTTTAATATACCTATAAATTGTTGTTTTTCAGTTTGCTGCTGTATACAAGAAGTTGCCTTATTGTAATTTCTAGTTTTAGCTACCCATGTTCATTTGTTTTGCTTAATGCTATATGTGATCTACCATGTAGACCATGAAGTCTTACCTTCAGTGTTTGGACATTTATATGTACCACTATTATAGTCTAAAGTTCCATTAGATAATTTCTCTTACTATGCACAAATTAATGTATGGCTTGTCCTCACATATAGAAAAAAAAACTTAAGTGTGTGATGATAGTAATGAAAGGTTTTTGTTTTGTTACTATTATTCAACCTTTGGAGCACTTTCAACTGAATTAAAAAGTGATTTCTCTGTCCAGTATTTTTGATACCATTATCTTAAAAGAGAGAGACTAAGTTATATGTTTTAGAAATAAACATATTCAAGAAATCCCAGTTCTTTTACTGTGTATAATTAGAAGTGTTATGAATTTAATTTGAAGGTTTCATCAGGAAATTGACAGTTATGATAACATTATCAAAATTAAAGAAGGAAGCTGAAGAGAGAAAAGGAAAAAATTCACATACTGATGGACTTGTATCTGGACGTAGGGTTTCTGTTCGTGACAGATTACTAGTTAAAGGTTTGGTCTTAACTTTTATGTCATGTATCAATCAAGTTTTTGATGATATGTGAAATGTAGAGACATAATTAGTAATTTTAGTGAAAATTATACTTTCACTGCTGGTGACTATCTCAAGCTTTATACCATGCTGATTTAAAAATAAGTTGTTCAGAAATGTATTGTCAATTTTCTAAGCTTTTTTTTTTTTACTACAGATATATAATATTTTAAAATATAGCACTATCCCAGCTGATATTTGCCTACCTTGCTTAAGAGTATCTGAAAGTTCAAATATATATACATTATAGTATAATTTCCAAGGAAGTTACCAGCTAACCTCTCAAAACTTCCATCTTTACTGTATAGAAAGGATTAAGTTCTCTATAATTAGCAGTTAAAGATTACTAGTTATCATTACAGTAAGCAAATAAAGAATTTTATTTATTGACTAGTATGAAAGCCCATAAAAAATGACAGGAAACCATTGTTGAATGTATAACGAAAATTATAGAATTTAACTAAAACAAATTTGTCTGTACCTCCAAAATGCACCTGCTCTTCACTTTTTTCATCAGTCTCGAAGTAATTCTTTAATCATCACATTTTTAATGACAACTCCACAGAAAAAATGAAATGTTATCTTGAACCAAAGTATGTGTGCACTCTGAAAGAGATTTAAGTAGCATCTTGAACCTTTTCACTGTATTTTAGATCGGGAAATAAAAAAACATAGGCCAGACATTCTGACACAAGTTTTCAACTCTTTCAACTGTACAAAGGATTAAAGATACGTGGTAGTAATAAATGTTTATTTTTCTATATGTTTTAAGGCAAAGTAGGTAATATACGTGCTAAAATGCCAAAAGAATATTTAGTAATTAACATTTATTCACCACTTAAAACTTTTTAAACACTGACTCTATAACGTTAGTAATAGTAGGCCTATTTGTAGTGTAATTTAATGAATAAATGCAATGTAAGGCTTAACTGAAATAGTACTTGATAAATTTTATTTTGCTTTTGGCTACAACTCAATGTCATAAAACTTCTGAATTAAACTATTTTGCTGTTATATCACTGAAGTTATAAAAAAAAGTTATATGAAGAATAAAAAACAAACCTCTCTAACAAATCAACATGAATGTTGAGCATTCAACATAAACACCATAGTTGGCCTAAGAACAATCAGGTGATAGTTTTGTTGCTAAGTGATGATGTATATTGTTGATCGATTACCAAATAAGGAGCGTGAAAGCATTCCTGATAGCGTAAAAAAGGTAATAAGCCTTTTATAGTTAGTGATGCAGTTGTGAGGGAATAAATAATGGTTATCAGTTCAGTTGGAAGGGAATACGTTGTGTTTATCAGTACAGAAGGTGGGAAAAGAATTTCAATTAACAGTACAATAGGCAGATAAAAATCCTAGTTACCAGAATAGCATACAGGAAAGACAAGAAGTTAATTCTTGCTGCTAAATTATGAGTAAGTTATAATAAAAATGTGCCAGAACTAAAGGGTTAGTTATAGAGATTTTGTCTGTTTTGCTTAATTAATTAAGCAGCATAGAATGTTCTACCATTCTTAACTCTTCATCATATTCACTTATGAGAAACAAGATAATGGAAGTTTCTTACTGTTACATGGTTTTTTAATGCAAATCGTTTGTGTAATATGAAGAAGTCAGAGTTCATATTATTAAAATGTTACACTTCTGAGCATTAATAATGACAGTATGTGGGTATGTTTGCTACACCCTTTCTTCAGTTAGAATATTTTTACAGAATCTCTCTTTATATTTGACAGAAATACAAGATATGGAGTTTACCATGCCTTCCACTTGTAAAGTTATCTTCGAAAACCCTAATGAATTACACAAGTTTGATTTGAGTGTAATCCCAGAGGAAGGTTATTGGCAGGATGGAAAGTTTCATTTTGTAGTAGATATACCAGAAGATTACAATATGGTGGTAAGTTTATTAACTACTACAAAAAGAAGTAATTTAAAAACACCAAGTAATGTTCTAACATTAAATGTGTAATTTGCTTTTATATTAGGTGCCAAAGTTATACTCAGGTCTCAGGTAGAAAGACTTTCAAGTAAATAAAAAAAAAAAACAACTATGAAGTAATATGTACTATATCTTCAGTCTTAAAAGTTTTTCTTTTTTTCAGCTTTAGTTCTACACTAGGCAGTACATTTATGTAAACAGTTTTTTTAATTAATTTGCCCAAGTTTTGTTTTATTATAAAAAAGAAACTTTTAAGTATCAATGTATTTACTCATATGGATTGAGAAAATAGATACTTCAATTAAGTATCGCTGTAATCGAAGTTGAATGAGAATTTTTAAGGTACACTAGGAAAGAACATTAAAGGCATTTTTTAAATCTTCAAATTGAGTTTGGATTAGGAAATCAAATAGTGTTGAGTTATGACCAGATGTGTTGGGATTTTAAATATTAACTAGGCAATGTAAGATCCATTTTAGAGTGGTAAGTCAGCCAGTGTGAAGTATCATTAAGCATATTGAGATTGGCTGTGGAGTGTCAAATCAGCCAATGTTAAGTACCAACTAAGCATGTTGAGGTTCACTGTGGAATGTCAAATCAACCAGTGTGTATTTCTGTATCATAAGGAATCATACCATTAATGTCACATCTTATAGGGACCATATTTTATGAAAGTAACAACTTATATATCATGAGTACTTGTACCACATTCTGTGAACTTCTGTTCTTTCATAAGCTCGAGCAATTGACCCAGACTTCAACCTAATAGATGATAGTACAATGCATGTTCCCACTTTGTTAAACTGATTGAACCTTAAAGAAGAGGAGATTGACTTCAATTTAATCAAGCATACCAGGAATGTTCTTGGGAGATGCATTGTAATCTGTTTAGATTGAGTGTGGTCCAGTTGTTGGTGTACCTGATTGTGAGATCTTTGGTTCAGTCTTTCATACCCTGTTATCACATGGAAGCTGTGGATAAGTTATAAATGGGACAACAAAATCTTACTTAGTTGATGGTGAGAACTATTACTTATGCCTTTTCTCTCTAGTCTAGGGACAGCTAGTTTAGATAGTCCTTGAGTATCTTTGTATGACTGTCCAAAAAAACAAACATCTTCTCAAGTGACTGCAGACAGTAAAAATAACTTAGAAACAACTCTTTCAGAGAAGTATGACTTAGGACTTTGCTTTTAAATATGAAATATTGATGCCAGGCTGTCCCTACTCTTAAGAGTGACCATCTATATAAATAAATGTCAAATATAACATCTAATTTCAGAAAACTACCAAATTAGCACAACTTGACACAGTGATACAGGATGACATGAGGAAGGTTATGAGGTGGTGGACCCCTCCACTTAATATCGTATTTATAGAATTCTTGAAAATAATATCTTTCTTTTCAGTATTGGTTTCTTTATGCATCTTTATTGCACTTTTAATGTTTATTATGTTAAGAAAAAAAAATACAAGCACAATTTCCAATCCTATGTTACAAACAAGTTTTTATTTCACCTGTCCAACAGACAGATACTCTAGTACTAGTACTCTGTATTGAAGTGAAATGATGTGAAATATGAAGATGTAATGACATGTTTACCAATTGTTGATTTAGGAACATAGGGTGAGTGTCCACTGACCAATCATTTGCCTTTCAGATCATGTAATGGATCATCATATGACTAATTTGCATAAAAATTAACAGAGGGAATAATAATTGACATTATTTCACAGCAATGATTTTGCTTTGTTTTACCTGAAACATCATGAAGTTTCACTAGCTTTTACTTTTTTTTGAGCATTGTTTATTGACATACTACAAAAATGATGCTAGTCAAAGTGGCCATTCATTGTTTTTCTTTGCCTTACATCTTGATAATAAAGAACTTGTTAGATTTATCTGTATTCCGATTATTGAAAAATTAGTGAGTAAATTTTTCACATCATTGACGGAGGATTTGGTGAGTATATATTATATCCTGTTCACAGGATTTACTGACTATAACATTTGTCTGTTGACAGGGAACTTTATACCCTTTGACAGAGAATGTAATAGGTGTATCTCTGTTGACAGAGAACTAAATGAGTACATTTTCTGTTCTATTGACAAAGGGCTGTACATTTTACATGCTGTAACAAAGAACTTTGTGAGTTCGTTATATTTTATTAACAGAGGACTTAGTAAATAGAGTATATTTTATTTCCTCATCAAAGAAAACTTACTAAATTGTTATGATGATAGAGACTTTGGTGATCTTACGACAGCAAATTTGGTGATTCTGTTTCATATTCTGGCAAAAATGAAAAGTAAATTTGTCTTGTAGCCCGAGGACAAACAACCAGATAATAAAAATGTACTTTATTTCAGCCTCCCAAAGTTAAATGTCTCACCAGATTATGGCATCCCAATATTAGTGAAGGAGGAGAAATCTGTCTTAGTCTCTTACGTCAGAATTCCATTGATGGAATGGGTTAGTAGATTTTTGTCAGTCACATTATTCCTTGGCAGATACATGCTTTTCAATTGGAGAAACTAATTATCTTGTTGTAGGGAAGCTGACCTACTTTAGTTTGTTATATGTATTGAGACATTGATTATATTCACTCCATTTCCATTTGTAAGACACAAAACTTTTAAGAAATGATAAACTGTTCATGCAAATGGTTCAGTTATATACTTTTCTTTTGAAACAATTGCATGCTTTTTTGTATTCATGTTTTTCCAGTTCAGTTGAAAAGGATTAATGTTGGTTTTTACTTTCATTTACAATAATTTACTGAAGGTCTGCTCCACCAGATTTTCTTGCATCATTTTGAAAGTTTGTTAATATTTAAGCATTGATTTGAAATATTGATAAAAAGTATGTGTAGAATATATAACATTGTTATAATATCTATCCTTCCCCCAAAACAAAACTTGACCAAATAATACCAAAGAGTATTATAGATTTCTTCATGTTTGTTTTTCTTAGTAAATTATTGTAATCTTTTATTTATTACATAACTGTCATTTCTGAAAATATATAATACTATGATAGGTGGATATTTGTGTAACAGTATCATAATAAACTTTCTTGTGTGGTCTTTCTTTATCAATTCATCAGTCTCTATGTTCTGGTAACCATTAGGTTGGGCTCCAACCCGAACATTGAATGATGTTATATGGGGCTTAAACTCTCTTTTCACAGTAAGTCTTTTGCGTATTATGTACTTATGTGAAACTGTAACTCCAGATGGCATGTAATGAAAGGAAAATGTTAACTTCAAACAAGTGAAACTTTCTAAAGTAACATAGAATAAGTAAAGAGGTTCTTACACAATATGTAAAATTAAACCCTGTTGTTAAAGTGTGACTTAAGATACATTAACCCTAAAATTATGATTTATTGTTATGCTGTTCACTATGATGAGGTCAAAATATTGCATAATATTAAATAACTCTGTGTTTTGCTTATTACCATACTCAGTGTAAAGAAATGACCAAAAAGTATTAGGTGAAATCCATCATTTTTCTACGTATAATACATAGAAACACCAACCACAATTAATAGGATTAATTGCAATATTTATGGTAATTTTTGTTTGTGTAATCAACATTCATGGACCCACAAGCAATTTGGTGCATAAATAGTTTAGAAAAATGTACTTATGGACCTCACTGGTAATGCTAGGGTTATTTAGAGTTTATATCTTCTAATAACAAGATATTTTGTTGAACTGTGAACTCATAAAATGGTTTAATTTCTAGGATTTGCTCAACTTTGAAGATCCTTTAAACAATGATGCAGCTGAACACTACCAAAAAGATAAAGTAAGTTTTGTACTTTTGTGTCAGTTCAGTTTTAATAAAAAACTCACCTGAATACGATCATAATAAAGAATAATCAAATAACAGAAGCTTGAAGTAATTACAAATCAGAAAATAGCTTTGTACTTGAATTTGATTTATAATAGAAATATGTTGTTTTAGGTCATCAAGAAATTAATGTCACTTTTTTTAGAGGAAAAACCTGAACAACTTATACATCAAAACAAAACATTTATTAAATGAAATTGTCTCTATTCTTATCGATGATGCTTTTCCATCTTACAATCAGGTTGTTAATGCCCTGATTAAAAAGACCACTTGGCTTTGAAGCAAAAAACATGTTGATGTCCTCTTTAACACCTTCCACGTTTGCATACTTTTTCCCATTAAGATGGTGTTGCAGCGAATGAAAAAGATGGTAATCTGATGGTGCCCTATCTGGGGAATATGGTGGGTGGGGGAGATCTTCCCAACCTAACTCCATAATCTTGTGTTGCACCAAACATGGCACATGTGGACGTGCATTGTTGAGGAGAAGAAGAACACCTTTCCGATTGACGAAATGAAGGACGTTTCTGATGAAGGGCTTGGTTTAAATGTTCTATTTGATGACTAGAGATCTCTGCATTGACAGTTCACTGTGGATTAAGGAGTTCGAAATGAATTACCCCTTTGATGTCTCACCAAATGCAAAGCATCACTTTCTACGGATGGGGTTCAGGTTTTGGGGGTCGGAAGTGGTTTTTGTCCAGGACTGACCCATTGTTTTTGGTGTTTAATATTTACATAGAGAATCCATTTTTCATCACCAGTGACAATTCTCTCCAAAAATGGTTCACGCACATTACGTACCAGAAGAGATGAAGCCACATTCACACTTTGGAAATGATGATCATGGAGAGTTTGTGAGGCACCCAAACACCTTCTTTATGGAGTTTTTCCCATATTTCTTAGCTGTTTACGTATTGTTTCATGAGAGACATGCAATTTTAAAGCCATTTCACGAGTGTGTTGCCTTGGGTTAGACTCAACAAGTCTTCAGAGCATCAATATCATTTCCAAAATGTCGGCCCCTGCCATCACACTTTTTAAGGCTAAAGTCACCTGAATGAAATTTGCTGAAACATCGTTGACACTTATGAACGTTCAAAACATTTCCATAAACTTCTTTGATATTCTTTGTGGCTACAGAGGTGTTGTTTCCCTTCTTTTATTCAAACAGCATTACATGCCAAATGTGTGTCTCGTCATGTGCCATCACTGTTAGGGATTAGAATATACTAAACTTTACATATTATATAGGCTACACTGACATGACGTTTAGGGCAGTTCATTTAACTATTTGTACATTTTTTGGAGGGTGGTAACTGAAAATGTTCCAAAATGCAACATTCATTTCTTGATGACCTAATATTATGTTAACGAAAATCTTATTTTCAAAGCTGACAGTTATATAGATCTTATTCTATTTAATTTATGGATATAGTAACACATGTAAAAGTTCCTGATTATTTACTCAGTAACATTGTGACTAGGGCAGTTATAATGAAATATGAGCCAGTTGTTAAGGCTGTTTTTATAAAGTTATAGGATTAGGGTTAATAAGAATGCTGACTCATATCATATTAAATTTTCATGTGTTTGTGTAATTTATAACAACCTTCTACAATAATAAAGTCTGACCTTTTATGAATTTGATTCTGATGAAATTGTAGGTTTTTAGCTCAATACACACACACACACACACACACACACACACACACATATATATATATATATA